GGGGCCCGGGAGCGCGGCGCCCTGAATCCGCGCCTCCGCCGAGGGCGCGCCCCTTCTGCCCCGTCACTGGTCGCCCCCAGGGGTCGCCTCCCGACCCCCGGCCTTCGCTTCCTCTCCCTGGCCGCCCCTCTCCCGGCTCCACCTTCCGCACCCGCGCTGTGGGGCGCGCCCCGCGCTCCCTCGGCCCGGGTCACCACTTGCACCGCCCTCCTTCTGACCCTCTGCCCTTGCCAAGGTGACCTCGCGGCGCGCGGAGGCCCTCGGAGCCCGGCTGCCTGCCGCGGGCTCGACCAAGTGCAGCCTCAGAAAGCCTCGCAGTCAGGCAGCAAAGGCTTTGTGTGTGAGGCTGGAGCGAGGCTAAGGCGGCTAGGAGCTGGCTGCCTTTGATGAAGTAGAAAAAAAAAAAAAAAAAGCGCCGGTTTCCATCAGCTCTTCTTCCCGGCAGGAGAGAGGGGTGGGCACCCAGGGGCAGCCTCCGCGGGGCGGCGGCTCACAGCCCCGAGCCCCGTGCAAGGCGCGAGTGGGGAAAGTCAGTCCAGGAAATGACTCCGCAGGGCTTGAGCTACCAGAGAAGCCCCCAGACCCCGGAGGGGCGACCCTAGGGACCAGCTCTCACCCTGCCGGGACTGAGACCAGTTTCTTAAAATAGTAAATTTCTGCGCGGCTGCCATGTCAGGCTGTATTATACATCGCTGTAGCAAAGTGTGATACTTCCCCCCCCCCGTGTTTATTTTACATCCTCATCTCGAGCGAGCAGAGGTTTCTGTTTGTTTTCCCTGTACGTACACGTCACCGGCGCTGTCCGTGTCCTTCAGCTATCGCGAGCACGGATGTGGCTTTTGCTGAGAGCGATTCCCATTTCCTCTGTGCGGGACGGCGGGGGGCGGGGGCTGCTCCCCAGTTCCGAAGCCCCCTCCCACGGCGGGGGGCGGGGGCTGCTCCCCAGTTCCGAAGCCCCCTCCCACCCCTTTTCCCCCTCACAGTGGCCCGTGTTTTCTGGAGCGCGAAAGTATTCTCAAAGCAGTAAAAGTTTTTTGGATTTTTTTTAAAGTCTGGATTTTGAGTCTTCAGGGCCTGACATTTCAAATTTCAGTTTGGAATTATGATAATTGCGTCTTTATTGCGCAGGAAATTTCATCAGAGAAATCTGTGCAATTCATTAAAGCATTAGCCGGGGATTCGCTGCCCTTTGACAGTAAAAGCTGTTTTGACTGAAAAAGGAACCTATTTTCGAGTCAAAGACGCTGTGGCTCTCCCTTTTAAGCAAATGTTTAGGTACTGCACCAGAATGGAGAAGAAGGTGGGAAAATCCTGCAGAGAGCCAGTTCTTCTAAGCAGAACCTCTGGCCGCAGAGGTCGCCAGGAGGCGTGGTTTTTGTGATCTGATTGTGTGTTTTACCTGGAAGCCTTCAAAGCTGTGGTTTGAGGAGCAAGGTGGCCTGTAAGGATACGTGACCCTAACATTCCAGAAGCTCCAGGGCAGACTGATGACGCTGGCATTTGGTCAAACTATTTTTAGTTATTGCAGCAAACGCTACAAACATATATATATATATCTCCTGGCAAAGCTATCTGGGGCTGACCACATATACACTCAGTGTAAGCCAAACTAAGCTTCTCATGACTCTCAAAAACAATCCTTTGCTCTTTTTCTCCAAATAGAAAGCTTAAGACTCAAACTTTTAAAAACATGAGTGATCGCTGAAAGATTGTGTAATCATTGTAGTAAAATTTAAAGCCAATAAATAGGATTAATGAGCTAAAATTAGTTTTTGAGGAATTTAAGCTACTTGCAAATTAAACACGAGCTTGTAATAGAGTAGAAAGGGTGAATTAGAAAAGCCAGAGGAAAATGATGTAGATAAAAGAGTAAAATGGAAGAGGGAGCCGGGGAGGAAGTGCTCAGATGGGGAGGGGAAGGCACGCACAGAGCTGAATGTACCTCAGAAAGCCCGAGAGTCGCCAGGCCAACTGCCTCTTTTCAAGTGCCTATTCCATTCATACAAGGCACTCCACTTAGATTTTTTTAAAATAGACTTTTAAAAAGAGCAGTTTAGATTACTGAAAGATTGAGAATGTACAGATGGCTCCCCAGACTCCTCCCTATAAGGCACCTTTACCTATAGCAGTACAGACCAGTGCACGAATTAGCAAAACAGAGAGGCTGAAGTCCTGTGATTTACCTCAAGGAGTGGGAGTAGGGCCCTGCGCTGATTCCAAGCCCTGTCTTTGCAGGGACACTTGCTGACTAGAACTCTTCTGGGATAAAAGCCAACCCCTTAGCACCCTGAGCGTTAATGCCCAGGTGAATTCCACCTGACCTGAGAGAGGCCTGCCCCTCTTCTTCAGGGTCTCATCACATAGACAACCTGGATAACGGTGCTTAGGCCCTGCCCTCCTCACAAAGACTGAAGGAGAGGTGGGGGCTTAGCTGGTAAACTAGACTATTGTCTGGTTTTTCACGTGGCTCAGGCTGAAGAGGAAAAAGCCAGTAGCTTATCCCTGAGGGACAATTGGGAAAGAGCAGTGTGAGAAGACGCCTCTGTTCGGGTAATTTTGATAGTTGATTAGTTCGGTTTCACTTCTACTGGGTAAAAGAGTGCCTGAGCATTCCAGCAGCCTTCCTAATTAAAAGACTTCAAACAGACCACTTGCAAACCACATTTTATCACTTATAGGTATATTTTGTTTGCATTACTGGGACTCTAAATATAACACGGCAGGGACGATAATTTATGCCCAAAACAAGAGATTTCGCCACCAGACTGTTTCTGAGATGTTTCAGCAACTCAGAAATGACAACAGTCCTTTGCCTCTGAAAATTCTATTTCTTCTTTTGTCAGAATGGTAGAGTGAATACCTAGAAGTTGGCACGGCAAAGCGACACCATCTGTTTTTAAATTATGTAGTAGCGGTGATGGTTGGCTACCTCGGGTGAACTCGCTCCTTATAGATGCGGCTGAAGGCTCGAGAAGCAGGCCCTGTAAACAATCCTGTGTAATATTTAAGCTGACAGGATTTTTTTTAATCAGACAGAAATCCCTCATAATGCCTGACTACACAGCCTAAAATGAATCCGTGTGTGTGTGTCGCTGTGCACGTGTGTGCTTCGGTGTGTATATAAGGTGATAAGAGGAGGCAGTCCTGGAACTGTCTCCATAACAACTCCTGTCTTGTGCAGGAGAATTGGAGCCAGGCCAAGGGTGTGATAAAATCGGCCTACTCGTTTTCATGGGATGCACCTTGCATCTTCCTTGAAGGTACGGCTAACACTGAGATTCCATTTTGTTCGTTTGACTCATTCGACTTTATTCATCAGAAGCTCTACTTTTCATAGCATCAGGGACCTACATCGGATCAGCTCTGCATGTGTGTGACTGTGTTTTCAACCAGTCAGAGTGATTCACCCATTCAGAGAGACTTTGAGGCACTTGATTTCCTCCACTATGCAGAAGTCTCAAGGTTTGCTTTGTCAACACAAAATATGATTGGCGTTTAAAAAAATAAAATATTCTAACCTTTTGAGAGAACAAAGTGACTGTTAAAACAGATTTCCTTCAAACAGAATTATGCATTTCTTTCTCCATCAAGGAAAAAATTGATTACTTAAATGTGCTTTTTGACATTTTCTTCCCCAATATCCGTGGTGTAATGAGAAGGAACTGCTATGCCCTGGTACTAGTGGAGACTTTCTGGTCACGCATAATATAGAAAAAGTAATAAGGGAAGTTCTTGCTTCATCGCTCCTGGAGTAGTCTGATATTTCCTAAAAGTAGACCACAGAACAAAGGAAACAAAATCTTCCATTCCTGAAGAACTGTACCATGTAAAGTAATAAAAAGTCAAATGATTCTGAGATCTTTCCCGTGCAAAAGCAAATGTGACATACAAGAGGCCATCACACTGAAAGAACCAGCATTTGGTCTGTAGAGCTAGAGCTGGAATGGTGAGGAGGGCTGCAAGCCAGAGGCAAGTCCTAGCAGAGTGGCCGGGAGCTCACTGCACCTAACGCTCTTGGGACGGACGTGGTGGCAGAATGGAAAGATTCATCCCGAATGAGCCGCTTCTGGTCCAGTTTGGAAGATGACTTCCACACAAGGCAAGGAAGCTGAGAGTAGGAAAGCCCTGACTAGCAAGAAGCCGGCCCATCAGGATTGTGTGTAGTGCTGGAAAAAGTCCATGACAGGCCATAATAAAAATCAGCATGATGTGTGGAAGAACAAGGGAAGGGGGCGTGTCTAGCCTGGAAAAGAATGTGAGGCGTTAGGAGGGTAGAAAAGAAGCACTGTTGCGTTATTTCGTTTCCAGGTGACA